AAAGCAATGGTAGATGAAAGGGTGGGGCCGACGGGGCCCCCACCCCCACCTTCCGCCTTAAGTGATGTATTTACATACGGTCTTGAAGGTTTTTTGTTAAACGCCGGCTTTCCGGCCCACCCTCTCTTTGATTCCAGGAACCGACCCTGGAAAGCGAATATATATTTCGTGTTCGTTCTTTCCTGTTATATGTAAACATGATTAGAAGCTAAAACTTCAGTTCATATATCAATTACCTCGAGATAAAAAACAAATCAAAACAGATCAGGTAAATGACAATCTCAAGCTAAAGAACTGATTTTTCCAGAAGAACTGTTATATCTTTATTTTCCTATCCACGACCCATTATGCATTGTACATACATACATGCATACAAACATATAAACTTTAGTGWCAAAAGATTTAACAATAAAAAGTAATTGGGATAAAGAAACTTAAATAAAACTAAGCATTTCGTCAGGGCTCAATAGTGTAAATTATGGAGCGTCTTGGGGAAATACAAAACATTTTGCTATGCCTTAAAGTGTTGATCCCATTTTYCCCACATTTCCATAGCTCTTGAACCTTGTACTATTTAAAACACATTCTTCTGCATGTTTTGGATATGAGTTGTTACAAAAAGCCAGCCAAGATTTTTTTTCTGGCCMCACAGCAAAGAAACTTCTTTATCTTTTTCTATCTTTCTATCGACTGAAGATGAGTGCCATGCAAGCCTTTCACRACTTCAAGTCGCGTAAAAAATGAGCYAGTTCAACTACAAACCATGGACAGCTGTTTCGGCCTGTATTGGGCCTCGTCAGCACGGTCCACGGTTTCTAGTTGAGCTGGCTCATTTTTTACGCGACTTGAAGTTGTGAAAGGCTTGYATGGCACTCTTCTTCAGTCTTTGTCCTATTACGCATGTTCTTATTAAAAACCTTATTAATCTTACTTTTTCCATGGTTTTTCATGTGTTCCCAATATTTTATAAGATACGTTAATTCTCTTTGAAATTGAATAAATGATGCTTGAAGTTTTATGACACCTTCTATTTACATTCTAACGTTTTCCAATGTGAAAACACTTGCAGGTGTTTAAGGTGACTGCCTACTTTTG